TGTGCACCCGATGCGGCTCCTCGCCATGGCTCAGCCGTGGGCCGACCGGATAAAATAGTGGCAAAACCCACCCCATTCCCCCCTTTCCTGCCCCCAGCACCTCCACGAGCTGCTCCGGCACCCCGCGTGGCTGGTTTGGGCATGAGCGATGGGGCGAGGGGGAGGATTTTTGCAGCGCTGTGTTGTTTTTGCCCTGGCTGGCTGGATGCTCCCGGGTCCGAAATGCCGGAGGGGAGGTCAGCTCGGCGCCCGGAGCCGCTGAAAGGCTGATCGGGGAAATCCAGTCCCCCTGAATATGTAACAGCCCGGCGATTATTGTCTCTCTTTTACTATTCTCTGTGTTACACAAGTTAGGAGACAAATGCTAACCACACATGAATATCAATCAGATGCCATAAAAGAGCAGCTGCAATGCCTCATAAATGGTTTAATCCTGTTACTAGTGAAATAGCCATGACTTCTCCATTCCTTCGGCACCGAGTCGTTTCAGAGGGGAAGGGATGGAAATTAATTTTGCTCTACCTTGGAAACGCACGCTCGCCCCCGGCAATTTGCGGCGCAGGGGGATGTGCGGTCTTTAAAGTTTTATTTACGCAGAAATAATGCTGGGGAGCCCGGGTTTTATACCCCGTTTTCACAGCGCGAAGTGCGTTTATAAACCTTTTTGTTTGATGGGGGAAAAATCATCTGCAAATAAAGGTCGGGCTGTGCTGTATTATGGGATGTCTAGCTTCAAGTGAAAGCTCATATACCAGATTTCTTGCCAGCTTGGCCCATTAAATGAGAATGGGACCTGAATGGATAAAAATCACATTGTGGTGGTGCCCCTAACAGCTTCACACATATGTGTAAGCCCTGGGTGTACTGTGACGGCTTAGGGATTAATGAAGTGCAGTTTAATTAAATAATTGGTCAATAGAGAAAGGACAGCAAAATGAATGCCTGCAGGAAATAATGGGGCTCTCGCATTGCCAAACTTAAACATTTAGGTAAACAAAACAATTAAAGCTTCATCAGGCATTGTTAGACGAGTCAGCAGCGTATAGATTGTTGGCACAACAGAAATCCCTGCCTTCCCCTGATTTATTTGCACGCTCGGAGGGATGCACAGGCTGTTATCGGTGTGCATCTGAGCAGAAGTCAGCTGCGGAGGCAGAGAAGCACCAGGTAGGCTCAGCAGCGGCCGTGACCCTCTCCCCGCGCTGGGTACGTGTCTTTGGGCTTTGCAGTGCCTCGTTTCAGAGGTTGTTTGTGGCAGCTGCTGGACAGTCTTTGTAAAATGTGTCAATTTACGAGGCACATAAGGTTATGTGAGAGCTGTTCGACTTGGTGGCATTTTCACACTCAGGCAATTAGCTTTCTGGAACAAGAATATTTGTCCAATATTTGCCTTTCTAGATAAACTGTATTATTTATTCATCCCATTATTTCTGTTGCAGCTATTGGATCTTTTTTCTTTCTTTCTTTTTTTTTTCCAATGCTGTTATCATAAAAAGAAGCGGAGCAAAGTCCTGACTTCCAAATGTGTATGTCTGACTGTGGGTAGCATCTGATGTGCCGCTTCCCTGGGAAATACCGAGCTGCCCAGCACCGTGCACGTACAAATTCATCTGTGGGGCACTGGCTGGGGCTGTGTTGCTCCCTATAGAAAGAGGACCCACAGTCACTCTGAGCCGAGCATACCTAGTTAATTCAAGGTGTAGTCGTGTTTGTCATTTTTTGCTCGGGTGGTGTTTTTTGGTAACTTTTTTCCTCCGGTGTTTTGCAGAAGGCGAACACGGCACTTACATCAGTTGATTCTTTTGGCAGGTGGGAAGCGAAGAGGGAAAGAAAGACAAGAGGAAAACAAGCTTGCAGGAAAAAAAAAACAAAAAAGGGTCAAAAAGGATCATTTCTCTTTGCAAAACACAGTTGTTGTTCTCAGGTTTCTAGAAGGCAAGAGCATTTCCCAGCAGAAGGGGATATGCGTGTCGGGGGGTGAGGGAGGAATAGGATGCGGCTGGGGAAAAGATTTTGAGTTATCAGGTATTATGGAGGGATAGTCAAAACACCAGCAATTTGGATAAAGCATTAATAAACAAACAGCCTTTGGAGTGTGAGAGAATAGAGCTTGCCAGCTAGGACTGCTTCTGGGTCTGCTTTATTTACTGCTACGGAAAATGAACTGAGAAAAAAAAAAGCTGCTCTTCATTTTGGATTTTCATTATGGGGACCAAATTAAATCACTTTTAAAATCCTTATTATGCATGGAAATGAATGCAGGTACCCTTTTCAGTTCATGGATTTTAACATCTCCATTTTTCTCTTCTGCAGGCTGGACTTTACTCCTAGTAACTAAATGTCAGCAATTACAAACACTAGAAAAAAAACCACAGAGGCATTCTTCCTTCCCATTATTTTTCATATTCAACCTGAAAGCGTTATACATATGAAAATAAGCTAAAGACCGTGTCGTGCCACCAGACCCAAAACATGACGTAATGTGCATGACTAAGAAGCCTACATGGAAATGGGGGCCAAGCCCTCCGGGTTTCTGCCTGTGTATTTAGCGGGGCAGGGTTCGGGATGCTCTCAGCTATTCATTTTCATTCTTTCCCCCAGAATCGCAGAATACTCCTACGGGCATCAAAAGAAATCAAGCAAGAAGAAGAAAATCAGCAAGAACGATATCCGACTGGTACCGCGGGACGTGGAAGAGACGGATAAAATGAACGTTGTGAGCTGCTCCTCTCTCACTTCATCCCTCAACTACTTCGACTACCACCAGCAGACCCTGCCGCTGGGCTGCCGCCGCTCCGAGAGCACCTTCCTCAACGTGGAGAGCCAGAACAACAGGAACGCCGGCTCCAACCACATTTACCATCACACCTTTACGGGGCAGAGCCCCCAGCAGCCCGACCTCATCATCAACGGGATGCCGCTGCCGGAGGTGAGTGCGGCAGGCAGCCCGCGCCCCTGGGGCATTGCTGACGGGTTTGCATGAGGACCGTGCCCCTGGGGGTATCGCTGGTGGGTTTGCATGTGTGCCCCGGTGGCGTGGATGTGTTGGTGTAAGCGCTGCTGAAATGACTTGTTGAAATAAACAGATGGAGGAGGTTTCCATGTGTTAGGCACCCCAGGGCGAGGGAGTGATAGAGGATGGGCAGGGGGGAGGTGGGCACCCACCTTGCGGGTTCTGGCGCAGCCTGGAGACATGGCTGGGGATGCATGTTTCACCCTGAGACGCTGCAGTGACCCTCAGAAATACCCAGATGAGAATGCCAGCACGGGCTGGCCAGGCCAAGCTATCCCTGTGCTGCCAGGAGGCTGGAGGTGGCTGCTTTCCAAGTGGATTTTGAGCGTGGTGATGCTCAAGGGAGAGGACGCTTGTTGCCTTTGCTGGAGTTTTTTAAAAGCTTGTCAAAAGTGGAGTTGATGGCTGTGGCTCTGGCGGTGGTGGATTGTGCTGGGGGTGACTGCCTGCACACGTATCCCGGTGCCACCCTCCGTCCCAGTGCCACCCACCATCCCGGTGCCATCCGGTCGCCGTGCAGGATGAGCGCCTGCCGGCCGGCATGGGAGAGATACACAATGTCTGCCGAAGGCACGGAAAGGGGCCCCTGTGATCCACGCCATCCTCATCAGGTTCTTCTAATTCATCGGCTTTCCTGTACATCACAGGCATCATTTAATGTTGCTTGTTTGTCTCTCTTTGAATTATTGTTTGGTATTAAGCAAAACAATCAAAGGTTTGTCATGTTTCCGGCTTTGAACAGAATAACAAAGCTGAAAAAGCAGCTGAAATATTTATGGCTTGCTCTGTTTCGCGTTCAGTGTGCTGGTGTAAATGCAAAATGATGCTGCTGGAGACAGTGGAGCTGCTTCAGATTTATACTTGCGCGAGGGAGAGCAGAGCCCGGTCTTCTGCGAGAGCCTGCAGGGATGCTGGAGAGGGCTGGTGCCGGCGGGCCTGATCCTGCAGCGTTTGTATTGGCAAAACGCTTGTTGAATCCTGGTGTTTAGCCTCCCCTAAGGCTACAGAACCAGCTCCTGAGAGGTCACGTCCTAGTGTTGGCCCAGTTTTGGGATGCTCTCAGCCCAAATACCAGTGACTCAAAGCAGAGACACAGCCTTTAGTGACCTGGTGGTGGGAAGGGGTTTGTCAGGGTCTCCATAACAGATGGTGGGTGCTTAGGCTTCTTCTGCTCGGGCTGTGTTTTGAGGCTCTTCCGCCCTCACGCATGCGGGCTCCTCGCTGTACAGTGTTGCCTTTTCCACGTTACCTGCTGAGATGCTGCGAGGAGGCGACTTCTGCAGGGGTGCAGCTGCGGGGCAGGGATCCTGCCTGTATTTGGAGGGGATGCGGGAATGACCAGTGCCGATCCAGAGATTAAAGCTCTGTTTGACTTCCGCTGTTGGTGTGAAAGCTGTGATAGTTTCTTAGTAATAACTGAACAGAAATGACCTGGAGATAAGCACTCTTGTGTTTTACTTGCGTGTAGCCAGCCATAGAGCTGAGTGGGCTCTGCTCCTCCTAAATGCCCCAGCGAGGAGAGGCAGACACTTTACATCCGAGTCTGGGTGGGAGCACTTTGGGATAAGCCTATCTCTGGTCAAATAAGGCAGAAAAGCTGCTACCGAAGCTGCCTGCTCCTTGTACTGTGCGCCCGCGGGCTGGGAATGGGAAACACCACCCTTCATCTGTGGATGCTCAGATTTGCCCGTGCTCTTTGTGGAGTTCCAGCTGGAGCTCAGGGTGCCCAGCTGCCTGGAGGATGCATCCCAAGGCTGTGGTGACCATTGCTGTTGGGGTGCTGGCAGTCTTTGAGGAATTCCTGCCTTCCTAGAGCAGGGTCCTTTTGAGAGGGGTCTTGAGCTTGTCTCTGACTGGTGCCTTGCTACGGGCACTGAGCAGCAGAGCACCCTGTCAGCCTGTGATTCACTGCCACAGACAAAATTCAGTCGCAAAATCCAGTTGGTTAGCCTGGGGGCTGGTGGGATTTGCTCCACCAAGACCCCCATCGCCTTGTGCACACTCCTGTGAGGGAGCTGGAACGCTCATTTCTTCTCCCCGTGGCTCCAGCTCAGCCCATTTGCCCATCACTTGTGCAGTTGGGATGTACTGCCGAGAGCTGGTACCTCGCCTGGAGACAGGAATTTGTCTCTTGTCACGAGTGCCATGGAACATCAGCTCTAAAACGTGTCCCCAGCAGCCCCGCGAGCAGGCAGGAGGGCGGCTGACGGCTCTTCAGCCCTGCGAGGGGAGCAGCAGCTCTCGGTGGGTGCTCTCAGGGAGATCAACGTGTCTGCCCAATCCCTGGGGATGCATTTAGAGGAAAGGGCAGGGCCAGGGCACGGGGAGGAGAAATCCCAACTGGAAGCTGCTTGGAATTTTGGTTTAGGGTGGGAACTTCTACGGTTTTGGGCAGAAAGTCCCAGTGTTACGCTTCCAGCTGTTGCAAGAGAAGTTGTCTTGTGGGCGGTGTGAGTTGTACTGGCTTCTAAAAATCCAGGTGTCCCCTGAGGGTGAGGAGGTTCAGTGGTGACTAGAGCGACGGAGTTATGGAAACTTCATAAATGATGCTTCCACGAAGGAGCATCACAGCCTTGTACCCACCGTAGCCCGTCGCTGCCTTCGCAGGCATTGCGGTGTGATGATACGCGCATGAAGTGTGCTGTAGGTACACCTCCAGGTGATGATGACTGCATAAACACAGTTCCTGCCCAGGGTTTCCAGAGCCAAACCGTTCCCCTCAGTGCATCCAGCGGGACTTTGTCTGGACTAGTTTGAATCGCTGTCGGCGTTTCCCCCGGGAGCCTTTACGAGGTGTCAGCATCGGGGAGGTATCGTTGTTGCTCCACCTCGGAGTGACTTTTCCTGATGGGAAGGCGAAACATCAGTTGATAAAAGATAAAATACGGAGGTAAGCGTGTCGCTGGCGGTGTCACTTAGCATATGGTGGTTGTGGCTGGGAGTAAACGATTGCCTTGGCAGACAGGCACTGTCCCAGCAGTGCTGGGTTTACAGAGTAGCTGGTCTTTAATGTGAGGCTCATTTACTTTAACAGTCAGGAACCTTGAAATAAAAGTCCCCGAGGATGGTTTGTTTGTGGAGCTTCAGGAAATGTTTTCTCCCATGCTGCAGCAGTGGTACGCGCGGTGGCAGGTCTCGGGGCGGGTGGTGCCGGTGGTAATTGAGTTTGTCGGTGCTCCCCGCCTTTCCCTGCTGATCCAGAAAGCATTAAACGGTGGCTGCAACCCTGCGTTTGAGGATGAAAAGAAATAGTTTGAGAGCACCCTTGAAAAAGCTTTTCCCTTTGGGTGGGGGCCAGCTTGGCTGCTGGTTCTAGTTGTGCCAGGGCAGCCGAGCTGCCAAGAGAGCATCGGGAGGTGGTGGGGGACGTCCCAGGGGGGCTCTGGCCCTGCTGGAACTTGGTGGTCCCTTGGGTGCTGCGATGTTACTTGGGAACCCCCGCCCGTGGCTTTTTAGCATCCTTGTGGCTGTGGGCAATGATGGCAAAGAGTGTTTGCGAGCTGCTCGGGTGATCGTGGCTTGGCCCCCGTTAGTGTTTTGACTTGTTTTTGCAGGAGGGAGAGTGGGACATGCTGCAGCTGGAAGGGCATTGCTGGTCAGAGGCTTTGCTGCTGCCGAGGGTTTTTTTAATTTTGTTTTGTTTTTCTTGTTTGTTTGTTTGTTTGGTTGTTTTTTTCTTGATTTTTTTTTTTTGTTTTTTTTTTAAAAAAGAGGTAGGATTCTCTGTTTAAACCAGAAGGGCTTGTTTTCGGGCTTTGCATGTGTTTTACTGGATGTTGTACCAGGAGATTAAAGATCAAAATTAATAGGAGCCATTAGACATCTTCCTTGATAAAAATGCACGTTGCACTGGGGTGATGTGGAAAATGGACTGAATGCTGATCCTTTTAGGATCCCTGGGACACGACTTGCATGTCGAGCAGCCACCCTTGGGTAACACTTACACGCCTGGATTTTGACTTTGGGATTTTAAAGGAAAACCCCGTGTGCGTAACGGCTGTGTCTGTGTTCCGGAGATGGTTTTACATCCAAAACCTGCGCCACGTTGGGAAACGGCGCTAGAGCATCGTGCGCCGCCCCAGGATGGGGCACATCCCCCGGGCGACAGCAGGGCGCGGCCGCGGTGGTGGCCTGTCCCCAGCAGGACTCAGCATGGCAGGAGTGAGGAGGGATGAGAGGTTGGACATCCGAAGGGGGAGGTTCAGCACTGGGTCTGGGGGTCTGGAATGGTTCCGTTGTGGCAGCGGTAGGGAAGGGAGGCAGCAGTGCTGCTGTTACACCATGGGCAGGGTCCAAACCAGGCCTGATCTTGCTCTGGTGCTGCTTTGGTAGGTCCCGCTGGAGAAGGTCAAGGTGGAGCAGCCACTGATGGAGCAGGACTTGAGTCCTCCGGGGACCCGCGTGGCTCCCGGTTCCAGGGGGGCCGTGGCGATCCGCCGCCTCCTGATCTGGTGGCCACCATCAGTAAGATGGGGAATTACTGGTTTTAGTGGTAATCCTGGTCTAATCCCCCAACCTTGATACACTCCCGCGTAATCCGCACTCACGCTGATGTCGCTCGGGCTCCTCGTGGCAGCGGGGATTATTTGAGCGAGCAACAGGTGTGGGATAAGGTCCTGTGGGTTTCAGATATGGGTTTTGCTACCTGGAAAGCATTCTCCTCGCTGTAGGAAATGGTTTTTCTAAGCACAATAGAGCAATTTTCGTTTCAGGCGGCACCGGCAGTTTTTTTGCTCTGGGTATCTGGCGGTGTTAACTAAAGCACATTTCTACAACACACAAAGATTTTTGTTTTGTAAGAAATGGAATCAGCGTGGCTGTTCCTCTTTCTCTGTCATTTCTCTACTTGTCAATTCTTTCTTCCCCTCCAGCTTATCCTCCTCTTCTCCGCTAGCCTTAAAAAGCCCCCAAAGTGT